CCCATGTCTGCGTGTGATATGGTTTATCAACACAGTCATGAAAATTGAACAGCATCTGATTAATCAAAGACCATATGCGGAACGCAACCTGTCTATCGAACGCGCTCCTCTGAGTATTCTCCAGATCGGATGAATCCTCAAATCAAATCCTTCCGACTACGACAGTGAGTAGCACTGGTTGAACATTTCGAGTTTTCCGGTGGAAATATTGATGTTTATTTTTCACACTTTTTTCCACTGAAAAATGTGGTGAAATTTTAAAAAAAAAATCAATCCCAGTGTGAAAAATTTGAAACAAAAAAACAAAATTACAAAGTGCTGAAAAACGGTTGAAATTTTCACTATTTTTTTCAGTGAAAAATGTATGAAAAATAAAGGAAGTTTTTCAGCAATATTTTCACTGAAAAACTTGAAATGTTCATCCAGTGATAGAGCACCCAAAAAAAAAAAGCACGACACGACGTAGATAATTATAATTCCAAGGTAGGGCCTCAAGTGAACGGTTAATATTCGGCTGGCCGCGTGAGACTTAAGAAACACCTGTGTGCCTTCTGGGCCACCGTACCTTTTTACACTTCCTTGGGCGCAATTAACTGAGTGTTGTGACGTTGTCTCCACGGAATCAACGCTTAATAATTCGATTTCGGGGTTGGCAGGTGCAATAAATTCGTGATTTAGCAGAGAGAAGCGGTCCACTGGGAATGTATGCATTTGCGACAGCAGACTCAGCACTGCATTGATAATCCCATGCATAGTGAGAAGTCGCTGAGGCAGAGAATACTGGTGAAAGATTTCCCCAAAAAATGAGACAACACATTTGATGGGGGAGCCCAAGTCGGAAGGGTGGCTGGCGATCCGATGTGGTTTCGGGCGCACACTTTGCGACGCCGTATCCTCTTCGAGTCTCTTTTCGGTTGCTGAACTATGGAGGGAAGTTCATCCACCGGCATGAACTCGTGGGATGGTGAGACATGGGTCCCATTTAATTAAATACAAGAAAATACAACACTTCGCATGATACCCATCGCTTTCAAATTGCAGAGTCTACATGTACAAAAAATCCATCGAAGGCAAATCGAAGGCGCTGATTCGGCAGTGATTCCACTTTTTTTTCATGCAGTCCGCTCGCTGCACGCCCACACTGGACACGATCGGCAACATGTTGATCCCGTTTTGTGCGACAGTGGAGTTACATGTAAGGAAGTCGAAGGTTGGTCCAAAACAGAGTGGAAGACAGAAGTGAGGACATGATGATGGAGGGCATGCGGGGCACGTGCTTCGGCAATCAGCGGAATCTGAAATCCGCGGCAACTGCCAGCAACCGCCGTCGCAACCCGATTCCTATCTTCTCTTCGGCGGTCATGGTCGAACGCGCAGTTAATTAAACCGTTCACTTCGTTACCCTGCATGCCGTTGGGACGCGTACTTGAGACTCTACGCTTAGCCATGCCGGGGTGCCGCGCAATTTGGTGACATGCCGCAGCAACAGTCATACAAGATCACGCTCGCGGTTACATTGAGCACGAAATTATCCGGTGGCCGGTCGAACTACGCGGTCACTTGCACTGCTGAATTCTTTACCCTGCATGCCGTTGGGACGCGCAGTTAAGACTCGATGCTCAGCCATGCCGGGTTGACGCGCACAGGTTCTACATGTCCTACTAGCAGCTTGGGCGACTGCGGTCGGCAACGTCTTATAAAGGTCTTGCAGCGTTCTAGGGATACACAGTTTACCTTGAATCAACTACCATGTCTTCTCAACGCTCAATCGCTATTGTCGGGGCCGGTCTTGCTGGTATGTGTTGTCTATGTTGTCTATGACCATCGCATCATCCACTCACTCACCCATCTTATCCAGGTCTCAGCTGTGCACGCATCTTGCAACTGAACAACATACCCGTCGTCGTCTATGAACGCGAACCAACATCTACATCTCGCCTGCAAGGCGGGTCGCTCGACTTGCATGAGCACACTGGGCTCAAGGTGCTCGAGATGGCGCAGCTCTTCGAGGAATTCAAGAAGTTGGCGCGGTATGAAGACCAGCACGTGAAGATCGTGGGGATGGACGGCACTGTTCACTTCGGAGATGATGCGGACTCGGAGCTGCCACCCAAAAATCAGGAAGCGGGTGGTAACCGCCCCGAGATAGATCGTACTCAACTGCGCCAGATTTTGTTGGACTCGTTGAAATCCGGCACAGTCAAGTACGGCGTGTCTCCCTCCATCCATCTCAATGAACGCATCGCTAACCTTCCTCCAGATGGAAACACGGCATTTCCAAGGTGGTCCAGGACGGCAATAAAGCTACGCTGCACTTCCACGACGCCGCTCTCGAACCCGCCGTCCACGATTTTGTCGTCGGCGCCGAGGGAGCCTGGTCGCGCGTGCGCCCCGCGCTCACCTCCACTGTCCCCGAGTACTCCGGCCTCATCTTCGTCGACATCTTCCTCGCCGACGTGAGCAAGAAATATCCCGACCTCGCCGAGTTCGTGAAGGGCGGCATGGCCATGGTGCTGCACGACAATAAAGGCATCATGGTCCAGCGCAGCAGCAACGACGTCGTGCGCGTCTACGCCTCCTTCCGCAAACCCGTTGCCTGGGCGGACGAAGTCGGCTTGACGGCGCTCGTCAAGGAGGGGCGGCACGCGGAGGCCAGGGCGCTGCTGCTCAAGGAGTTTCCTGGGTGGTGCGTCGAGGCGACCGGGTACCTCAGCGTGCCGTGCTTGTCCATCGACGTTCGGCCCATGTACACGTTCAAACCCTACACCTGGGACGCAAACCCGAACGTCACCCTCGTCGGCGACGCTGCGCATCTCATGGTCCCCAATGGCGAAGGCGCCAACCTCGCAATGCTGTACGTTCTACAGTACCGATTCCTTTTTCTGCGTTCCGCTATTGACGACGTCTATTTCCTTGCAGGGACGGAGCAGAACTCGGGACCGTACTCGCCGAAAACGTGTCCGCGGATGCGGATTCGTGGCTGCAGGCGATCAAGGGATTCGAGGCGCAGATGCTGAGCCGCGCCTGGGGCGCACTCGGAGAAAACATGTGGGACGTCTTGCTGTCGGACGGGGATTCCGCTGCTCGGGCTGGTACGATGCTGCACACGATGATGGCGGCGGCGGGCGCTGCGGCTTAGCGCTATATCAACAAGTTCCCGTTTCGACGGACGAATTCGTACATTTAAAGGACGATTGTCCGTATACCCAGTTGGTTGCAGTCCGTAAAGTGTCCGTCCATTTCACTTGGTACCGGAAGTATTGGGAGGAAAATTGCTTGTTGATAATATAAAGTTGTCCGTTCACGAATACGATCGATCAGCTACAAGTCCATTGAACAAAAAAAAGTGCTTGTGTACCGAGGAAGAACCGGTGTTCGTAGAAATTCGACTTGCTCGAACCACACCGAGGTTGTTCTGGAGCCAATTCCCGCTATCTTCTTGAAGACATGACCAGCATCTTGTAGAAAGGGAAACAAGCGCCTAGGGAAATCCAACCTCCGTGAAACGCCGAAGTTCGAAGCGAGAACCGAAAGTGAAGCCGCTCTCAATATCCTAGGAAACGCGGACGACGGGACGAGTCAAAGTTAATCTGAATGATTGGCGCACGGAGAGGTCAAGACAGGTAGTACGTAGGACAAGATGAGCCCAGGAGGAGGTTTCCCGGAAGAGAAAATGTGTCGAAATAAAGGCAGAAAAGCCGCAACAGTTGAGTGCGTGCGAGACGTGCCACGTGGGACGGGCCGCGACGAATGCCGCGGCCCGCGCGCCCTATTCGGAATTAGCCATCCCAAACGGGAAGGCGCCGTTTGCAGAGAACCGCCATGTCGGTTTTCGCGCTCTCTGCACCCCGCCGCCGTTTTCCGCAAAGGTTTTACATCAGCCCACTCTGGCCTGCTTTCTCTTGTGTTCTGGCCCCTCTTTGGCTCGGATTCGCCCATCACTTTCGCCGGATACACCTGCACTCAGAAACTCGATTTCTGCCGACTCGCGACGTCTTCGGGATACTGGGATGGTCTATTACGTTTCTATGTCTTTGAATAGCGCCACGACATTCTTCGAGAGATTTGAAGCGATGCGAAGAACGGCAGGAACTCGAATTTAGCGAAAAGGGGAGAGTGGGAAGTTGTGCGGGACAGACAGTGACTTATATCCCTGGATCTGAGAATGAACTTCGCTTTTCTCTGGAATCTGAGTTCTCGAGTCTATGTGCTCGAGTTTTCCGTGCTTCTGCTCAGCCCACATTCTTTCCGCGTAGTAAATATGTGCTCTCTATGCATCCACGTCCTCATACCTCTCAATATCAGAATCCCACAGACTTCCGGGTGTCTTGAATATCTGCGGGCGTCTAATTCGTTTGCAGGATACAAAAAACCCTGTGGAATCGACCTTTTTCATCCCCCTCCCCGCTTCCTCTTTTCCCTCCCACTCACTCGTGTCTATTCCCTCACCCGTCGCGCCACTCCCATTCTCCCGCAGCCGGCATCTACAACGCCCTCGTCTAACTACCGGCTCATTAGCCCCGAAACGATGTATCCCCATGAGCTCGAAGATAAGAAAAAACAAAAAAAGCCATCGCTGTCACACATGCATCGCCAGGGAGTCGAACCCCGCTCTCCGGCAATATCGGAGTTAACATCAACTTACTGAATCAAGGTAAGGCGGTGTGTCCCGGACACCGACGATGTGTTATGCTCTGAATTTAGTTCCTCGATTTGTCCTCCTTTTTCTTTTTCGGTTGATTTATCTCATCCGGGGTTCCAACACAGGTTGCTCGGCAATTGCTCATGATCACTGCACCTCGTTGATTTATCTTATCGCCGACCAGAGATAAAATTCCTTGCGTAATACTAAGATGGACGGATGGTTGAGTCATTGTCAACCAAACACAGTATCCCGGACCCTCGACCAATCTTACCTTTTTCCTGATCTTGTCTATAAATTCTCGGAACTCAGGGAAATGGCAAAAGAAAATTTTAAATTTGGGTACAACGAATTGCAATACACCAGCGGGGAGTCGAACCCCGACTCCGCCGAATGCGATGACAATACAGGAAGAATCATTCGAAGGCGGCGTGTCCCGGACACCACCGGTGCGGATGTCTCTAACGCTGGACCACATATTGTTTGCTACTACTTTATTGACTCGGCCTTGCGACTTCGACGAGTGAGTTATATCATTGGAGGAAAGATAAGGATAAGAGGGAAATTCTCGCCGCTATACATACATACTTTGCATTGAGCTGCGACGTTCTGGCTTCGGAGTTTTTAGGAACGAAGACGTGGAAGCAGACAAAAAAGTGTGGCTGATTATGCACCAGCGGGGAGTCGAACCCCAACTCCGCCTGAATCCGCTGATGAGGACAGGACATTCGAAGGCAGCGTGTCCCGGACACTGCCGGTGCGTTTACTGGATGCTGAGACTCAGAATTATACACTCCTCGCATTTACAAGGAAAGCGATGCATCTTCAAGAGGAGTCGAGGAGGGCTACACTCGACGAACCCCTCAATGTTGCATTCCAATTGGAACCATTCATTCGAAACTAAGAGGGAGAGGAAGACCAAGAACAAGAGAAAAACACAAAAATTCTGTTGGAAACAATGGAACATGCACCAGCGGGGAGTCGAACCCCAACTCCGCCGAATCGGAAGCGGCAGTGTATGTATTCGAAGATGGAGACACTACCGGTGCACATAGGTATGCTGGAGTCCGTATTACTTATCTGCTAGAATCGACATGGAAAACTATGAATTTTCATAAAGCATCCGGAGGAGTCGACTTGACGAATCCCTTAAATATTGTATGATGTGTCCAATTGCAACCATCCATTCGAAACGAAGAGGGAGAGGGAGAGCAAGAACATTTTGTGTGGATGATCAGTCCCCGCGAGTTCCATTTCAGCGCGTCGCAGGTGCATCGTCGCCTTGTCGCCTATTTGTTCCGCCTCGACACGCCACACGATTTCGCAGTAAGTTCAAACGTCACTCACTGATTCTCTCGCCGTGCCGCATCCTTGCCGCATCTCCATGGCATCCCGTATCATTGCGACATCTCCCGGTAGCGGAGTATTTCCCGTCCAAGCAGTGTTCAGAAAAGCGCGGATAACCGGAAGCGGCAAGCCACGAGCCAAATTAATCCGAATTGCTGGCGGAGCGCCTTAAATGCACTGTGAGGCAACTGTGAGGGGGCCAAGAGGGTATTTAAACCAGTTTCTGTCTGGAAAATGGGCCGGAATAAGTGCAGGAAAGCCGCCAGACTTGAACGCATCAGGACGGGATTCACGGGAAGCAGACAGGATACTTAGAAGGATAGAACTTAGAAGAATCCTGTCAGGATTCCGCAGACATGCCACGTGGCGCGGGCCGGGATGAGCCGCGGCCCATACGGACTTAAACCATCCCAAACGGGAAGGCGTCAGAGAACCGCCATGTCAGTTTTCGCGCTCTCTGCACCCCACCGCCGTTTTCCGCAAGATTTTACATAAACCAACTCTGGCCTGCTTTCTCTTGCGTTCTGGCCCATCTATCGCTCGGATCCGCCCGTCACTTCCGTTGGATACACTTACACCTGAAACCTCGATTTCCGCGCACGAGCGACATCTCCGGCATACTGGGCTGGTCTACTTCTCATGTCTTTTGAGCAGCGCTACAAGTTACCTATGAAGGATCTCAAGCTACAACCCCGAAGAACCGTAGTAATTCGAATTTAGCGAAAACGGAAGATGGGAAGTTGTGTAGGACATCATATCCCTGGATCTGAGATCTCGAGACAGAACTTTGCTTTACTTTGGAATCTGAGGTCCCGAGTAGTGCGTGCTCGAGTTCGCCGTGCTTCTGATCAACCCAATTTTTTTTGCCTTATAGAAAATTTGGGCTCTGTATTCGTCCAAGCCCTTATACCTCCCAATATCACACGCGGAGACCTTCAAGTGGCTCCTTGAAACGCAGGCCGAATTCGGACGACGGAGTTCCTCCGACCGTCAAACAACACCTCCGCCGCGCTCTCTGCGTGATTTCGCATTTACCGCGTTTTCGTGAGGCTATTCACTTTACGCCTGATTCTGGTACGCCCGGTGTTGACGGCGTTCGTTCTTCTGGTGGCATGCGACCAAGCGTCTAATTCGTTTGCAGGATACACCAACCCTATGGAATCGTCGTTTTGGTTCCTATTGAACTTATTGCAGCGCGTCGCAGCGCTTCCCGAGGTGTATTGTCGCCTATTTTTGTTCCGTCTCGACACGCGACACGATCTCGTGAGTTTGGGAACTCGACATTGCAACATCACTGCCACTGATTTTCTCACCAGGACGCATCCTTGCCTTATCTCCATGACATCCCGTATTATTGCTGGTTGCGAGCCCCTCCGCCGTTCAGTTATCTTGTTCAACCCATCCGCCGCATCCACTCGCTGTATCCCCATGGACGCTGAACCTGTTCGATCCCGCAAGCGCATGGAAACATCTCTGCGGCAGCAAATCTGCTTCCCTGACTACACCTGACCCTTCTCTCGTTCTCGAGCAAGTTCTCGTCTGTTCTCTCAACGCGGAGCCATCGCACGCGGACCAGTCCGGTGACGCGGCCACACATGCCGCACCTTCGCGGATACTTACTTGATGAGACGCAAAGGCAGAAACGAACACCATGGATCTACGCACTCTCCTATGCCTGAGCGTTTGGTTGAGTGGTGTCGCTGCCCAAGGTATATCTATTCAAGCTGCCCATCCTAACGCGCTGCTCACTCGCCGCAGTTACGCTCTCCACCCTACTGGTGGAAAATAAAGCTGCCCCCCTCGGCATCGATGTCTCTCCACGCTTTTCCTGGCTGCTCACGTCCTCTGCACGCGCTGTCAAGCAAACCTCCTACCACCTCACCCTTTCTACCGTCTCCGCCGGCGCATCCGACGTCTGGGACTCGGGCGTAGTCGACTCCGCGACCCCGTACCTCGCGCCGTACGGGGGGCCCGCCCTCGCCGCAGACACGACCTATTTCTGGGCCGTCAGCGTCGCCACGACCGCGGGCGGCGCCAGCGCCTCCAGCAACTTTACCACCGGGCTCCTCGCCCCGAGCGACTGGGGCGCGAGCGAGTGGATCGGCAAGAACGCGACCGTCGTGCCTGCAGCGCTCCTCACCGCATTCACCAGCGCGGAGTGGATCTGGGCGTCGGAGTCGTCCCCGCCGGAAGCGCCGCCGGGCAAGGTCGCGCTGCGCTTCACGTACACGCCGCCGGTGGGGAAGGTGCCCGCGAGCGCGCTGGTCGTGATGACTGCGGACGACCTCTTCACTCTGTACGCCAACGGCGCAGTCGTCGGTTCCTCGCCCAATCAGACGAATATCTGGATGAACGCGCAGATCTTTGAGAGCGTCAATCTCACCGCGTCCTCCTCCTCGACACTCTTCGCGGTCCTTGCCACGAACCTCGCCGACGTCTCCAGCGGCGGCGACAGCCCCGCCGGCGTTCTGTTTGCTGCACAGATTACATTCACCGACGGCTCCACCGCGCTCGTCTCGTCCTCTACATCGTGGAAAGCGACCTCCGCGATCCCCGCCAACTTCCAATCACCGCAGACGAACGACAGCGCGTGGCCCGCCGCCGAATCCTTCGGCGCATACGGCGTTGCGCCCTGGGACACCTCCGTCGTCGTCGCGGTGCCCACACCCACCGCGACGACACCCGACTTCAGCACCGCAACGTGGATCTGGAACTCCGCCGCCGCCTCCCCGCCCGCGGGCGACGTCGCCTTCCGCAAGACGCTCGCCGCGCCCGCGGGGAAGACCGCCGTCTCAGCGGACATCATCGTCACCGCCGACGACCTCTTCGTGCTTTACGTCAACGGCGCCGTCGTCGGCTCCTCCACGAGCGGCTGGTCGAGCGCGCAGGAGTTCGCGGGCACCCCGCTGGCGGGTGGCACGAACGTGTTCGCGGTGCTCGCGACGAACCTAGTGGACCCCGCGAGCGGCATCCTGACGCCCGCGGGGCTGCTCGTCGCGATGAACGTGCTGTACAGCGACGGGAGCAGCGCGCGCGTCACGACGGACGCGAGCTGGAAGGCGACGGGGGACATCCCTGCGAATTTCGCGGACCCGGGGCTGGACGATTCGGGGTGGGGCGCGGCGCTGGGGCTGGGGGCGTATGGCGCGCAGCCGTGGGGCACGGGCGTGGCGATCGCGGATGCGCTGGGCGAGCACCCCGCACCGTTGCTGCGCAAGGCGTTTGCGCTCCAGGCGAAGACGGTGGGTGCGCTTTCCCCTCCCTCCCTCCCTCCCCTTCCCGCCGTATGCATACTGATCCCCGCGCCGTAGGTTACCCACGCGCGCCTGTACTACGCCGCGGGCGGGTACGCATCCATCACGCTCAACGGCGTGCCCGTCTCGGACCGCGTCCTGAGCCCCGGCTTCACCAAGTACGACACGCGCATGCAGTACGTCGCCCTCGACGTCGCGGGCCTGTTTTCCTCCGCCCCGGCGGGGAACGTCCTCGGCGCGGAGCTCGGGCGGAGCCACTACGGCGTGACGCAGGGGAGCGTGTGGAACTGGGCGGGCGCGCCGTGGCACGGGGAGCCCGTGCTGCGGCTCGTGCTCTCTGTTGGGTACAGCGACGGGAGCAAGGACACGGTCGTGAGCGACGCGAGCTGGAAGAATATTGAGGGCCCGACGCGCCTCGATGATGTGTTTGGGGGCGAGAACTACGATGGTGCGCTCTTCGTGCGGTTGTTGCCATTGGCGGCGTAATAAAGGCTGATTGGATTATGGGGGGCAGCGAGCTATGTGATCCCGGGCTGGGACCTCCCGGGCTTCGACGACGCGGCGTGGAATACGGCGCTAGTCGCGGTGCCGCCGAAGGGCGTGCTGGTCAGTGCGCGCCAGGCGCCGACGCGCGTTATTGGCTCGCTTACGCCGGTGTCGATCACGGAGCCGGTGCAGGGGTGTGTGATTCTCTTCTTCCCTTCCTCCATTCCGCTCTCCTCCCATCCTCGTTCCCTCGTCATGCCCCATTGACCACGCGCTAACGCTATCCCGCCCCCAGCCAATTCGTCGCCGCCTTTGAGCGCGTCGTCTCAGGCTGGGTGCGCCTCACCGCGCAGGGCCCCAAGGGGC